GTCTAGCGCTTGCAGAAAACCATTTACTGTCTACCCTTTTATTTAGTAGCTGAGCACAAAGAGCCATAAGCCAACCAATGCTCATTTGCCAATCAATCACTGAATGTTTTTGCAGCCTCTTCAGATCTATGCTTAAACACACATCATTGTCCCCTTTCACAAAAGAGAATAAATTGTTGGCATTTTCTGAAAGTTATGCGTGCGCACCATTAACAAACTGAGCTGCTTTATTAACCAGACCTAGAGTACTGCATCCAGTTTTGGTCACCACACTATAAAAAAGATGTTGAGACTCTAGAAAAAGTACAGAGAAGAGCAACCAGGATGATGAGGGGACTGGAGACTAAGGCATATGAGGAACGGTTACAGGAACTGGGCATGGCTAGTCTAGTGAAGAGACCAGGGGAGACATGATAGTAGTCTTCCAATATTTGAGGGACTGCCACAGAGAGAAAGAGGTCAAGCTATTTTCTAAAGCAGTGGTAACCAGCCAGTGGGCCGGGGACCACTGGTGGCCCATGAGAAAATTTTGGTGGTCCGCAGAGAAATGTCACCCCAACCCACCCCCCAAGCAATTAATCCAGGCTGTGAGGGAACACAAGGCTGCGCCACTCACATGGCCAGTGGGAACACAAGGCTTGTGTTGCATGCATTGCAAGCAACATGAGGTAGTAAGGGAAGGGGGGAAAGGGTGGAGAGGGGCAACTAGCCCCACTCGCCCCACGAGTCTCGTCTGGCCACCAGGCTACTTCTTTCCACTTCTTTCTTCTGCTGCTTTTGGCTGCATGCAAGGAAAGCAGCAGAAGTCTTTCTTTCTCTCCCCCAAACTCTGCCAGAAATGAGTCTTTGGGACCCTGCAGGGCATCCTGCTCCAAGAGGCTGCACCGGCAAAGACTCATTTCTGGTGGAGTTTCAGGGAGAGAAAAAAAGACTTCCGCTGCTTCTGTTGCTTTCCTTGCATGAAGCCAAAAGTCTCTCTCTCTCTCTCTCTCCCCCTGAGAATGGAGCTGGAGACAGTATCCTGCGATCCCAAATAAAGAATGATCAATCAGTAGGAAAACGGGGTGGGGAATTTTCCTGTAGACTTTTTTGGGGATTTTCCCAGGGTCTCTGGTCTGTGGGATTTAAAATTATGAGTTTGGCGGTCCCTGAGGTCCAAAAGGTTGGCGACCCCTGTTCTAAAGCACCTGTAGGCCAGACAAGGAATAATGGATGGAAACTGAACAAGGAGAGATTTAACCTGGAAATAAGGAGAAACTTTCTGACAGTGAGAACAATCAACCAATGGAACAGCTTGGCCTCAGAAGTTGTGGGAGCGTCATCACTTGAGACTTTCAAGAAGAGATTGGACTGCCATTTGTCAGAAATGACAAATGCTTGGGCAGGGGGTTGGAGTAGATGACCTACAAGGTCCCTTCCAACTCTGATTATCTGTTATCTGTTATCTGCTTTACAAGCTGATTATTGTGACTTTTTCTTCAGTGTGATTTCTTCACCTAATCATCCTGGCTCACTGCTATGATGGGACCCCAGGGGTTTGCAGATGAAGTGAACCAAGGATCCTTTCCACAGAAGAACAGAGAGTACCCATTCACATTGAAGCCAGTGATTCATTTCCATTTCCAAACTGACATTTGTTACCTTGAATGAATATCTCCAGCTCCCAGATAGAATGCTGCTAAGTCGTTGCTTGAACTGCAGGCCCTTGGTTACAATGTTATGTGATCAGCAGGGACTCACCTTTGCCCACTATCCAAAATATGTCTTCTTCTAGATGACTTCTTGGTTGTAAGACTGTAATTTCCCCCCACCCTTAATTGCAATTGCCCAACTCTTGAAAAGGGCAAGTGTATCTTGCCCTGATATCTGCCACATTCTAATTCTTATTGAAGAATGGCTATATGTAATTTAAAATTTGTTCTGGATAACATTGCCAGGGCCTTGTTCAATAGTACAAAGGATGCTTCAGTAAGCAAACAATTGAATGTTAACTGAGGTCTGAATGGGATACATTGTTTAATATGGAAAGCATTCTGCCCTAAGTCTTCTCTTGTTGTTACAGGGAATTGTTTATTCTTAAAAACAACATATATTAAAAATCCAGTCTTTCCTAACATAATGTACTAAACCATTTTAACCATTTTGCATCTAATGTAAAGTCTTACTTGGTGCTGTTATTTTGGCACAATAATGGTTCCATGACTCTAGAAAATGTCATGGTTTGCTAATTGGTAAATATCCTCAGAATTGCATTGGAGATTTAGGGAGTTAGTCTGAATAATGTTTCAATGTTTCCTTAGTGTAAAATGTTTCTGTGAAGGTAGCTTTTTTCTAAGCTTATATAGTGTTCTGAAGTTTTTGCTCATTTAAACTGACAATTTTCTACAAGAAAAAGGAATAGAGTCCTAGGGGAAATAATTATTTGGGGAAAACTTTAGGGATACTGATGTTACATCTCAAATGGCAATACTCATTTGTCACATTAATTACATAATTTAACATGGGAATTCTGTTTTACTTTTGGTAATTGAGGTGAAAATTGAGGAAAAATTTGCCTATGTTGATTTATTGACATGAATACAAATCAAATTTATTTAATAGGCTTTTCTTGGTTCCCAAGTAATCCCCATTGTTTCTTTCCAATGATTCATAAATAGAATATTTGTTATTTATTGATTTGTCATGCAGCTTAGTTGCAGTTTATTAAATATTTAACAATAAACAATACTGTAAAAACAAGCAACTGATATTGAACTACCTAATGCCCAGCACATCTGTTGTCAGTTTGCTTTACCAGCTAGTTTCACTAAATGTACTTGGTGGGTTTTTCCCCCTGTTTTTCTTTTCTTTTTTTCTTTTCTTTTTTTGCAAACAAATGAACATTGTTTATTATTTCAAAATGTACATAAGGTAATAGGACTTTTCTAGTTTAAGCTGATTCTGTGTTGCCAAGACAATCCTTTTATTTAATGTACCAGTATATATTAACACATCAAACATATGTTGCTATGGCAGAAAATAAACCATGAACTCCACAGAACTTGAACAGGAAGTGATAGTCTGTGTAAAGAAAATAAAACTGTTACAGGTTAATGACAGGGATCTGAAGTAAGAGTTTAATCAAGGAACAACTGAAAAGGAAAAAAAATGACAATATTTATGATTGTATCGTGAATATAGTACAGAAAGGAGAAATATTATTCAGGAAATAAGATGACTGAAGGAAGAGGTTGGAGCAAAAGCAGTAGTGAGAAAAATAGGAACCCTAATGAATAATGGGATAGTTCAGTGGTGGGATTCAATTTTTTTTTTACTACCGGTTCTGTGGGATTGGCTTGGCTTGGCTGGCATGGCTTGGTGGGCGAGGCAGGGGAAGGGTACTACAAAATCCCATTCCCTCCCACCCCACTAACCTGCTTTCCAGCTCCGTTCTCCTGTGCAGGGCAACAAAAGACCTAGCCTAGCTGGGAGTCGGAAGGCAGAGAATAGATGGGGGCAGGGCCAGTCAGAGGTGGCATTTGCTGGTTCTCTGAACTACTCAAAATTTCCGCTACCAGTTCTCTAGAACTGGTCAGAACCTGCTGAATACCACCTCTGGGATAGTTGTTAGATAAGATGCAATGTCATGAAGAAAGCAGAACTAAAAAACAACCAATTGTCAACCAGGGGTTGAATGAAACCATTTTTACATTTGTAAGAACCAGTCTAACCTGTGTGGGCAAAATAATAGAATGGAATGGAATGGAATAGAAGTCTTTATTGGCCAAGTGTGATTGGACACACAAGGAATCTGTCTTTGGTGCATATGCTCTCAGTGTACATAAAGAAAAAATAAAATACATAATATTCATCAAGAATCATAAGATACAACACTTAGTGATAGTCATAGGTTACTAATAAGCAATCAAATCATACTAGGAAACAAAACAATATAAATTGTAAAGATACAAGCAACACGGTTATAGTCATAAGTGGGAAGAGATAGGTACTAGGAGGGATGAGAAGAATAATAGTAATACAGACTTAGTAAATAATTTGACAGTGTTGTGGGAATTAGTTGTTTAGCAGAGTGGTGGCATTTGGGAAAAAACTGTCCTTGTGTCTAGTTGTTCTGGTGTGCAGTGCCCTATAGCATCATTTTGAGGGTAGAAGTTGAAACAATTTATGACCTCTGTGAGGGGTCTGCAAATATTTTCACAGCCCTCTTTTTGACTCATGCAGTATACAGGTCCTCAATGGAAGGCAGGTTGGTAACAGTTGTTTTTTCTGCAGTTCTAATTATCCGTTGAAGTCTGTGTCTGTCTTGTTTAGTTGCAGAGCCAAACCAGACAATTATAGAGGTGCAGATGACAGACTCAATAATTCCTTTGTAGAACTGAATCAGCAGTTCTTTGGTCAGTTTGAGCTTTCTGAGTTGGTGCAGAAAGAATATTCTTTATTGTGCTTTTTTGATGACATTTTTGATGTTAGGTGTCCATTTTAAGTCTTGAGATATGATAGAACCTAGAAACTTGAAGGTCTCTACTATTGATACTGTGTTGTCTAGTATTGTAAGAGGTGGTAGTATAGGAGGGTTTCTCCTAAAATCTACCACCATTTCTACATTTTTTTAAATCAAGTTTTTTATTTCAATCTACACACACAACAATACATTAACAGTGTGGCATCAATGTATCATACATTTTAATATAAGCAGAATTAATAATATCTCTTAATACACATATTCACATTAAGTCACAACTTTTCAACATTTCAATATTTTCTCCTAATGTCAACCACCATATTAGTTAAACATACCTTATAGTTTCATTATTCAATTTCTTCTCCAATTTTATTTTTTAAATAAAAAATTCTCTTTTGGCAAGCAGTGTGGTTCCAGGTTTCACATCTCAGTACAAACATGACTATAATTACCTGTTCATTTTATTTATTCAATTTCATATCACATTATCCTTATTAATATTAAATGTTAAACTTATTTTATTCAATTCCAGTTCAAATTATAACTTAATTCATTTTTCTTAGGGTATTCTCATATCTTATTTTACAATGTTATCTAAAATTCTTATCTCATTTCTATGTTCATTTCCCATATTACCTTTTTCTGTTACATTAGCAATTTTAACAGTCCTTATTCTGTTAATTCAAATTTGTCCCCTTTGGTTAGTAATTCGAGCTAGCCACCTTCATTCTACCTTAATACCAATCTCCCTATTTACTATCTCTCTCTCTCTTTCTCTCTCTCACTCACACACACACACACATACATATTGTCAGATTCTGCATTACATTTTTTCAATCATCTTATAACTTCATCTATACATTACAAAGATATTAATCTATTCAATTAATTATAGCAATTGATATGAATCTTTCCACAATAATTCTCTTTTCATCATCTTCTCCCTTTGTTTCTTATGCATCACTAATCATCAATTAATATATATATATTATTGTTATAAATTCCCATTTCCATATTTATTTCATTAAGTTCCATGTCTAATATAGCAATAATCCTTTAATTAAAAAAAGAAAGAAAAAGAAAAAAGAAAACTAAAAAAAACCATATCAGTTACCTTCCTAAATATTTTAAGTACTTATTCTTATATGTCACGATATATTACCTTGTGGAATCTTTTTCCCTATCCTTTTTTTTTCACCCATTATCTCTCACTCTCCTTGCAGTATAAATCCTTTTCATTCTTGTTTGCTTTCTATTTCTCTTTATTTTCTGGTCCTTTCTCTTAATTCCTTTTTTCCCCATTCTTATTTCCCTCCATTTCTCATTCCAATTATTAAATTTATCTCCCTCTTTTGATTTTTCTTTTGTATTTCCCTTTTCTGCTTTTTCCCTCTTCTTTTTTTTCATTTTCCAAACCATTCTCCCTTTTGTTATCACATCAGACCACATATTTTTAATTTTAATTCCTTCCCCCTCTGCTTAAATAATTGTTGTTCCCTTTGTTCTTCAAAGCTGGTTTCTTCTTTGTTAAACTCCTCCCTTCTGGTTTTCTTTGTTCTTCTACAAGCTGGGTCACCATTTCTAATTTCTGTAATACGTACCGTATTTGCCGGCGTATAAGACGACCCGGCGTATAAGACGACCCCCCACCACCACCGGAAACGCCCTCCAGAAATCCCCGGGGCTGCAGCGGCAGGGCAGAGTGCCAGGGGCCGTGGGAAGAACAGGAAGGCTGCAGCCTCGGGCGGAGCGAGGCGAGCGGGATGAAGCGGAAGCGACGTAGGGGATCTAGGAAGCCAGAGGCGCCTTCGCTGCGTCCAACAAGCATCCGAAAGCCGGCAGTGGATATACCGGCGTATAAGACGACCCCCCCACTTGGAGGCATGTTTTTTTGGGGCAAAAAAGTCGTCTTATACGCCGGCAAATACGGTAGCTACACATTTCAAGTTTAATTTTCATCATTTCCTTTATATCTTGCAGGTGCAATCTTATTTCAACAAATAATTCCTCCATTGTATTTTCTCCTTTTTTCCTTTTCTTTCATCTTCCTTAATAGATGTATTCAATCCCCAAAACCAGTATATTATTCCAGCAAATGTCTTTTAAGTTTATTTTCAACAGTCAATGTCCTTAAGTTTTTGTTTCCAGGTCTTTTAGTTGGCCCTTTACCAACTATTTCACACAGTCACCAGGTGGTTCTATAACAATATTATCAAATATCTTCCCTTTGTACTATTCTAATGTCACTTTCCAGAGTTTTTATTTTATTATAATGGAGTTTCTTTAATTTTCTTTTAGATTCCAAAGTTTAATTTCTAGAAAGACCAAGCACTTTTTAAAGAGTCACTGAAATTTTCACTGTACCATCAGGTGGCGCTCTTGAGTCTTTTCCACAATCCACTCCTTCCATTACTTTTACTTTCTTTGTTAAATATAGTACTTTTACTAAGTTTGCTAATTTCTCTATTAGCTATTATTTCATTTCTTTTCTACACACTCAATTCCAGCATTTAGTTATGCCCTTTAAGTGCCAATAATCCAATAGTTATCAAATTTAATTTCCAAGCCTTTGTTGTGTCCAAATATTTCCTTTAAATTTTCTCTTCCAAGTTAATCCAATACAATAATTCAAGCCAATTTTATAAGATCCAATTTCCTTCTCAGTTTTTCTGGTCGCCACTTCCACACACTTTCCTCCAAAATAGTCCTTTATTTTTTAATCCCGGGATACCTTAAAACTCATGCATTATGCTTGGTTCACACTCTGCTTGCTGCTTCTCCACTCCAGCACAGTCTTAGTTTCCCGAACTGCTTTTCGTCTTTGTGGTGGCCATTTTAAACCACCACTATAGCTTGCCTTTGGAAGGGGTTTTTCCTGTCAGGGAGGGGAGTTGCAGCTCCCCTCAGTCCTCCAGGTGATTCCCCCTTTCTTCACCACCCTTCCAGGGTGGTTCTGGTCTCAATCGGGACCCTCCAGCAAATGAGCTCGGGGCAAAACCGTGCATGATTGTAGATTCTGCTCTGACTACGATGATGACCAAACCGGAAGTCCATTTCAACAGTTTTGAGTGTATTTAGTTCAAGATTGTTCTGGCTGCACCACAAGGCTAGTTGTTCAACCTCCCGTCTGTATGTTGTATTATCTGCAAACTTCAGTACTTTAACAGAGGGACCTTTTGAGATGAAATCATTGGTATAGAGAGAGAAAAGAAGTGGAGAGAGCACACAGCCCTGGGGGGCTTCTGTGCTAATTGTACAGGTATCTGATGTGATTTTGCCTAGCTTCACCTGCTGCTTTCTATTAGGAAGCTTGTGATCCATTTACAAGTGTGGTCATGTACAGCTAGCTGATTTAGTTTTGTTAGAAGAATATTTGGAGCGCTGGTATTGAATGCTGAGTTGAAGTCTACAAAGAGGAGCCTTGTACCTGATTCAAGATGTTGTAGGATGTAGTGCAGAATCATATTAACCGCATCATCTGTCAATCTATTTGCTCGGTTGGTCATTCACATGGACAGGGGCTAAGTTTGGGAAAGAATTTCTTGAGACATGTCACATGTAACTTGTTTGATTTGCAAACCATTTTACATCATGTTTACGCATTTTGTTTTCAAAATGTGTTAATTATGTCATCAGAGTCTTTTTCCTGACAATTACTACTTGACTTCAGGAGAAAAGTTGCAAACTTTAGGGATTAGATTCTTTCTGAAAGTCAGAAGGTCAGAATTTCTATCAAATTTTGCTCCATAAAGAGAAGAATGGGAACTGGGAGGAAAGGGATATAACAGGCAAATGTACTTTAGATATAGGCATAGGAAAAGAGCTACAATTTTCTTTTACATTGCATCCCTGCTAGATTGTAGCTGGCAACACACAAGTATCATGGAACTTCCTTATCATATGACTAAAGTTTATGTTAAACCAAATATGGGGTTTACAGCTGTGAATCTATGCTACCAATTTTCAAGAATTTTATTTTTAAAAAGGCTCAAGGAGTTGCAGTAGAAAGGCTCCAAGAGTTATATGCAGTTCTCGGACCTGAGGTTGAACTCTTCTGATTTTGGTACACCATTTATAAGATCTAAAGATAGGAATGGCATGATTATTAAAACAGAAACACGTGAACATGGAACAGGCAAGCAAGTTCGAAGGGCTGAAAATTCCAAGCAGGAAGCTATGTTTCCAACACTTACAGCTTCTATCACTAAAATAGTATGGCCTGAGACACCTGCAAGTTGAGGTTTAAAAGGAAAATAAGCTTTAAATATTAAATTAAGATTTAAAGTTAATTTAAATCAATTCTTTGGCAGCAATCATCTAATTTTTCAGATACCGGAGCTCCTTAATTCCACGGTCCAGATAAAATATTGAAGGCTTTAGAACTATAACATGAAGTGGGGCAAACTTAATTGAATCCAGAGGAAGCTTACAATAGTGCTGTTGAAGAAATTCCAATTTTACCTCATATTAGCAGGGTGGTGATTTAAAGATCTTGCCAAGTTAATATGTGGTTGACTTTCCCCCCTAAAATTCCTTATTTTCAATTTCCAAAATCAAAAACATGGCATTGGCATAGTATGAGGTCTCCATATCTGGTAGGACTAAATAACAAAAATTATAGCATCAGAAAGAATCATTTTGATTCATTTTGTTACTAATGTTCCAAGATATTTTCTTTTAAACATTTAAGGAATTCAGTCTCTTAGCAACCCTCCTACAGACAAGAAAGAAAGGATAATATCAATTCTTCTTGCACGCTTAGCAAGGAGCCAAGTTTAAGAGAAGCACGTTGTTTGATAGAAATTAGAAAACATTTATAAATTTAAGTCAAGCAGATGCCACCCTTGTTCTTTAAAATCCCTTTTAGATAGTCATATCAGTTCTTACTATTTTATTGTGAAAAATGTTATTTGACAAACTTAAATTACTTCCAATTATATGGAATATACCAATAATAATAAGGTATCAGTTTTGCTAATTATTGGAAAAGCTCTTTTGAGAGCCAGCAATCAGTACTCCTTCCAAAGATGCTGGGGTTAGCATTTCTGATTTTCAAGACAAAAAATCATTGTACATGGTATTGTCCATGCTCAGTTACTTCTATAAACAAGCGTGGAACAATAATTAGAAGGACAAATCAAAGGAAGGAAAGAATAAAGGCAAGTAAGAATGTGACCAGGTAAGAAACTGCTGCCTTTGTTGAAGGACAAAATGGTCCCTTGTCATATTTTATTCCATATATAGTAAGTCTATGGACTAGAAGTATAGGATGATGTAAGACACTGTCCACAACTGCACCTGACAGAAGCAAGAAGAATGCTTGGTACAGACATCTTTGCTGTTGAGCGCCTTACCACCTATCATTGTTGACTGTTCAAGGTGATTGACTCTCTGTACTTAAAGAAAACATACATTCTAGAAGTAGCATTTGAGGCAATAGCAGATTGTTGGGTAAGCTAAGAATGCAGATTTTACATTGTACTAAGACTGAGGCCTTTAGACATACATTACAGTTTAATTTGGCTTCTGAGAAATTAATAAAATGAAGGTGTGGTTTGGAAATTAGTTTTGTTTTTCTTGCTAGTCTGTTAGGAAAACAATGGACACATTACCTAATACTTTTATATGCATTTTTCAAGAAAATAGTTGGTGTAAACAGTTACAGTTTTTTTTTCCCTCCTAGCCCACACCAATGAGCAACTGACTGAAGCACAAGTCCATTATCAATGGTCTGTTCATAGGCCTTTCAATTATTGTGGAGTTCTTTGCAGCATCCTGTTTATAGATTTTATGATTCAGGCAGTATGGAAGTTTGAATAATTGTTTTTGCTTTTTGCTCAATATCTGCCACTTGTACTGCTACAGTGGCTGTTTCCTGAGATATACATCACAGCCTTTGAAGAGGCATGGAAGATGTAATTGCACTGAAGACAGAATAAAGTGATTGATCAATATGTGAATGATCATTATTCAAAACCTTGTATATGAATGATAGAATTGGTCAATAAATATGAATGATATGGAGGGTACCCTGTTCCAAAATGATTATGAGAAGCTTTCATTAAAAATAGAAAACAATAAAAAGAAAAACCATGCATCTAGACAAGACATTGCCTCAGACAAAATATATAACCAATATTCAACTTCAAGGTGAGGCAGGTTTTAAAGACTTCATGAACATATTGTAGATGGGAATTATATGGGTCTGTGGGGATATTGTTCCAGAAGGATTAAGCCATGACAGAGCAGATGTGTTTCTAGATTCCGAATAAATGGCATTGTTTGATTAAAGGGACCCAAAGTGCAATTTCTCTGCTCATCCTACCAGATGGGCAGAACCATGGGAGATGGCAGTCTCATAGGAGATTGTAACCTGGCTCTGGAATTGGTACAGATATATTCTGTGTCAGCTTTTGCAGCCATCTGCCTCCCAAATCATGTTCCTTATACAGTTCAGCTCTTGACAAGTTTGCAATAAATGAAATATTTTTAAATCTTAACCATTTATCCAAAAAATTTCTATTTCTTTCCTTGTTTCCCTGAGGCACAAGTAATATAGGCTTAAAACAATAGAAAAATAAAAAGAATTAAAATGAAAGGATTATTTATTAATTAAAATAAAAAGGATTAAAATAAAATACTTGGAAACCATACAATCTTAAAAAAATTATTCAGAAACAAAATACTGCATTATTTATTTATTTATTCATCCATTTATTCATTTATTTATTCATTTATTTTTAACATTTATAGCTGCCATCTTACCTCAAAGTAACTTTTCCCTTTTTATTTAATTTGTTTTTTGTACTTCACTTTTACGTATGGTTCTATTGTGTCATGTTTCATGTTTTGTTCTGAATGTTTTATTTTGTATGTTGATATGGTCTATGGGCTAATCAGTAATAATACCAATAAAGACACCACTGTATTCACTTCACTATACTCTAACATCTTCTACTTTCTACTGTTGTTTTGTATAAATATAAGCATACAGTTGCCATTGATAGGTTATTGGCTAGACAGACAGAAAACTAATTTTATATAATTCAGGGGTATCAAACTGGCGGCCCACAGGCCAGATGCGTCACGTGCAGTCCACGCTCACCCCAGCTCCACAGATGGGGAAAACACCACAAAACATCACATGGCGCCGCGAGTTTGACACCGGTGATATAATTGGTTCTAAATAACTATTTGTTACTGTTGTTCTCACCAGGGTGGCAAGTCTTTAAACTGTCTATCTACCCATTTCCTTGTCTGTCTGTCTGTCTGTCCGCCTAATCCATGCAATTATGACATATGTCATAGTGCCCTTGTTCTGGATTACTGTAGTTTAACTCTCTGAGGTCAAGTTCACTGCCCTCCCACTATCTTTCCAGAAGAACGATCTTTCAAACAGCCTTCAGGCCAAGGGCGCCACTTGGCTGGAAGTAGCTGCAGAGTAAGGGATGGTTTTGGAGTTTGAAATGATGTGACATTATTGTGTTTTACTTTGTATTTTGTTTTATTGACTGCATATCGCCTAGAATCTAGAGTGTGTTGAATGACACATAAATCTATCCAATAAAGAAATAATACTAAATTTGGGGTTGTTTATTATTTAGGGTATCCAGGGACATCAGGAACTGTGCAGTAAGATACATCATATTGACACAATGGACTTCACACAATGCAAGGAGTAAAAGGCTTTGGCAATGATGTTCACTTTGAAAATGAGATCTCTGGTACAGCTGAAACCCTTAACTGGGATTATTCAAGCCTCATCTACAGTAATAAGTGTCTGGCATTAGTGCTGTTTACACTGGAAATGAAGAGCCATTTGGCATTATTTTGTTTACAATAAGGAGTTGCATACAATACAGTGCTATTGTGAATCTTCATCATAATGATTTCATAGAATTGTATTCATTGTCAGCATTCTGGGGAAATTGCTGTTCCTCAAACCTTTTGAAATTCAGACACCCTTTTTCTCACCTTCTTGCATCATTCTTGTTTTATTTTGTTTCTGTAGCTTGGAAAACATGACACATAACACAAATAAAAAAAGCAATATTTAGGAGTGTTGTCACTGGTTATGACTAAGCTAAATCAGGATGTGCCTTCCTCCCAAAGACCACAACAACTATCTGTGTGCTACTCACTTATCAGTTGCTTGGTACTTGATATGTGTTTTGAACAGGGCAGGAGAGAATCTACAGAGTGACACGCCATAAAAAGGGCTGTGTTCTAAAGATTCCCCTCTCTGAGTAACACATTAAAAATAGGTTTATTCATTGATCTGATTTATAAGACTATCTACGACAGCAGTTTATAAACAATAAAAATAACACACAATCCATAAACAGAAAAGAGACAACATATGTGTAGGAGGGATAACCAGTCAACTCATCAGAGAAAATCTTTTGAGAGACGTAAGCTGTATATTTTAGCCACAATAAAACACAGTAATTACAATGGATCTGGAGTGGCGTGTTGTTTTTAGAGTCCAATTCGCTCCCTGTTCAGGTCCTCACTAGCAGCTTGTGTGTCATGACAGAGCTGATCTAGTTTCCTGCCAAAACAACCACAACATCAAGTATGAACAAAAGAGAGCCTTGCATACTAGAGATGGTGGCCCTGAGATGTTGGGAGTTGTAGCGCAATGCATTTGAAACTACCTAAGCTAGGTGGGACTATATGGATCCACAGAGTCCAGTATTGCATCTATCAAGTGGCATTGACTCTCCATGGTTTCAGATAAAAGTCTTTTAAGTAGGGGCACACCAGAGACAGAGTTTTCTGCATGCAGAATTTGAACTCTGTGGCAACAGTGCAATGACCTTTTAATGCTAACCAACACGGTAGGAAAATCTTCAGAAATAAATACCTGCCATGTGATATGCTTACATCTGAAGACATGAAATAATGGTGCCAAAGTTTTTATAGAGCAGTCTACAGCAAACAGGAGAGCCAAAGCAGTTGGTTGGTGGCTCTTTTGCCTCTGTTATATAATGTAGTCCTTGTTAATATGCATGTAGACATGCATTTAAATATAAGGAACACAAATATATCTTTATGTTTGAGGGGCAGGTACACATGAATGAAAGAAATAAGGTAGAATATATTTCCATTTGACAAAGAAATACAGCTACATATAAGCTGTGGCTGAAATTATACATTCAAGTACCAGAGCTACAATGATGGTAACTAGGCAACCAATAATCAAAACAAATGTGGTCACTTGATTATTTAGAGTGTATTTTTGCTCAAAGGATCTAGGTTTTTCAAGCACCTGTCACAAAGATGTCTGACATATTAGCCTCACTATGATACAAATATTATCCTCTAGTTATTGTTTTGACTTCAGAGTAAATATATAAACCATGTTGAGTCCTGTCTGTCTCATACTAACATTATTCAAAATGTGTCTTAATGGGGTACTCACTCTTAATAAATTGCTCAATTTTGGATTTTTAATATTTCAGATATGAAAATAGTCAATTGCTTTCTTTTTGCCATGTATGTTAAGGCTTTTCCAATTTTGTACATGCTAGACTAGAACTAAATCTTATACAGACTAAAAGAAAACTTCACACATATTTTAAAATATGTGACAATAAATAAATTGACAATAAATAAGGTATACAAGAACTGAGACAACAGGAAAAAGAGCAACTTAATTTTGAGGAGAAAACAGATAAAAATTATGGGACATGCAAGCAGTTGTTACATAAACAGTAATATATTTTGCAATATATATTGAACAGTCATATATTTTGCTATGCATATTTAACAGTAATCTTTTTTGAAGAGTAGGCATCCTTGGAATTTACAGTTAAAAGGACAAAGTCAGTTATCACATTCCCCCAAACCACTACAGAAAGCTTTGGGTTTTTAAAAAATGAGAATTTAGAAGGAACTGAGGATCTAGGGGACAAAATGAGCAGTAAAGAAGCAATGTAAGGTTCTATTGACAATTTGATCAATAACTAGAGACTAAGGGCAACAGAAGAAGCATTACATGAATATCCAGAAGAAATAGGGCTAAGAACAGGACAGTACTTAGGAGAGTGATTGGAATGGCTTGAAAATCCAGAAAACTCCCTGACATAGCCTTAAATGGACTGGAAACAAGTCCCAATCAAATGTTTTTTTTATGATAATACATTAAGCATCAAGGACAACCGTGTTCTAAGCTAAGGGGCATATATTGCAAGTACATCCATCCACAGGGATGGCAGTATAAGAATTGATTCTGAATTTTCACTCATTGTAAGATGATGCTTATTGTGTAAATTGCTCATGATGTCCTTACCACCTCCAAGCAGGAAATCTGGACTAGTCAGAAACAGAAGGAACCATATTTAGATTAGAGACATGAAGTAATAGTACCATAGCAATAGCATCAATGGGGTGGGTGGGAGGAAAACCCAACATCCATATGTTGGTTGTACACTTCGCAGGATCAACTAAAATAACACAAAAGTGTCTGCAAGCTTTCAAACTAATAAATTTCATCTTAAGGCTGAATCTGAACAACAAACGTATGGTTGCAATAAGAAGCCATATTTATTTTTTGCTTCTTTCTCATTCCCTGATTTTTTATTAACATCATGCCAAGTGAAGAATGCTGTAAAATTCAGTTTCAAACTATTATGTCTAACTGATTTTAAATCAATTACATCAGTCCAGATATAAAGTTGTGATGTCCAAGCTATTTTGTACAATTCTGGCTTGGTTTCTTTTGCCCAACACAAGGGAGGTTAAATCATTTTGGAGCAAAGATGTGAAATTCCATTCTATTATGGGATTGTTCTTATTTGACAAAAATTGTCTAGCAACCATGAAAATGTGGAAATAGTACTGTGATTAGGTTTCTCTTTTGCATAATGTTTTCATGATCTAAATATTTCTTTCATTCTTATCTATCCAATTTAAAGTTTGGAAATCAAGCATTCATCTGTGTTGTGTCTCCCATCCTCAGTTTTCAGGAGTTAGGACAGGTTCTAAAACCCTGCACTCCCCCATAATCCTTCATTATTTTTACCACTATTCAACAGAAGCCAAATACAGCTGTAGCATTCCAAACTATTGTTGCCCCACAATATCTCCACAAATAAGATCCTACTCCAACAAGATATCAGAATCAGGACTGCTTCAAATACTAGAGGATCAGCTTGTTTGGGGATGGCGGGGGGGGGGTGGGGTGTTGAAAACTGCCAGTATTTGTTGGGCCCACCACAGAAAATCCTGATGGCACTTTTTCCATGAAGATTCCAGAACTTTCTTGTTGCTTTTCAGATTTGTTCTTGGATTGAGGGTTCAATGGCTGCACCCGCCAGGCAGCATGGTCACCTCAGCCATAATGGGAGGGTTTTTCATTCATGGTCAGTCATTGCCTCCTTCCTAGGCCCAAAGAAGAACCCATAGGACCACTATAGGTTCGTACATCTGAGAGGCATGAGGGCATCTTCTCAGAAAATTGAATCAAGTCACAATGCTAGGGAGAACTTACTGCTGTAGAAGAGACCTTGGTTGCATTGGGTAGGGACTGGTTTTTTTGGACTTATCTTTGTCCAAATAGGCCATATCACCAGCACTCTCATGGACCTGATTTCCTGTCTCAAACCCCCATTGATGTTGTCATTTTGGGTTCTCAGTCAGAGTGAGAGAACATTTGTTCCTGTCACATCCTGCAGCTAGATGACAGTTCTCACCTTTATCATATGATTAAGAGTAATTGTTTTGAATTGACTTGAACACAACAGTTGCATACTTACAAAATCTGTATCTACATAATTACATAAGAAGTTGTGTCTGATGGATAAGACTAAAGGATTTTGTATCCCACAGTTGCATTAAGGAAGCTACAAGTATGATCAACGTATGCCTTTCATATGGATAGCTATTATGGAACCACGTACTACCATCTCACTTTTACAAAATGTTAGATAAATCATGGACAAATAAATCATGACCAGAGGACACATTTTTAAATATCCCCCACTCCTCAGCAATGGGGCTTTCGAAAGAGGGAGTAAAGGTACCAGGGAGACTGAGATGGAATTTTTGGCAGCCTGTTTTTTTCCATTTTGGAGAGTTGGGGATATGGTTTAGTAAAATAGGTACATTAAATGTACCTATATGTTAATTTAAAACAAAAATAATGCCACTTAAATTAGTCATTGTTGGAATTTTCAGGGAATAATAAAGGGATTTAGAACTGATTAAGGCTATTCACTATTATTTAGATAATTTCTTAATATTCTATCTGCATAGCAACAATATATTCTGAATCAATATATTCTGAATCAGAAGTGCTGGTCAGAAGACTTATATTCTAAAATTTCATATTGGAATAAATGGCAAAATTGCATTATTTCAGTCTTCATGCTTAGTTTGGCTACAGCAAGTGTTGAAAAAAGTGTTGCTCCAATACAAATGAGACTCTGAAGGGAAATTGAATTTCAAGGCAACAGATACCGTATTATACAAGTTAGTCTAGAAAATGTTAATAGGCATAACTCAAGAAGTCAGAATTTGCTCAGTTCCTTAATAAAATGCTTTTTAAGACTCGACATTCTGAAGGAAAAAGAAAATGAACACACAACATTTTTAAAAAAGCAGAACAAAACATTAGGAAGGAGCGTTATATATATTTTACTACCTTTCACTATATTCAAATTAATAAGTAGCTTGATCCATGAAAATCTACACATAATCAATAAAATATTGATACATTAGAAGAAATGAGCTGAAAAATTGGGAAGGAAGCAAATGGAAGTTTGGTAAATGTGGGAGATGCCAATATCCTCATTAATTCAGAAAAGTAAGGATGACAAATAGTTTGATGACTCATTCACTAAATCTTCAGATTAATCTGAGCAATTCTGTAGTTGTGTTGCCACTTTAATGTTGCACATAATTGAAGGATAATAGATGTTCGGAGCTCAGTTATAAGTACATAATGTAAATACACTGCAAATACATTGCTATGAAGTAAATAATAAAAATCAACCTAGAAAAGGCAATCATTGTTTCTTCTTTGCCACTGGCTCTCAAGGTTATTTATATGATTTAAACTGACTTGTGTAAAAAAAAA